CGCGCTTCGCGGTCCGCGGGTTCGCGAGACCAAACCCATGGGACTACCCGTGCGTTCGGAACAGTACAAGGGTCCGGTACTGTTCGGATACAAGTCGGGTGAGTTGTGGTAAGTGGTGGCTCAGCTCGGCTGCATTCCGATGATTTGTGGGGAGTGGTCATCCCCGGTCAAGGCCCGAAAACAGTGGGACAAGCGACCGAATGATCCTACATTTGCGGACCTGGCTGCTTACACTGCAAAAGAGTTTGGGGTTGGTGCTGTGGCGGGGTTAATCCAAATGGGTGCTTCGAGTACGGGGCAACACTTTAAAGGAGTATAGGGGGCGAGTTGGCTGTGGAAGGGGGGGCAGCGTGAAATTCAGGGCCCCATCATCTGCAGGAAATGCCTTGGCGGGCGTGAACGTCTGTGTAAGATACGGTTGGCAGCCAAACGCTTTTGTGGCTTGGGTCTATCTTCGTTGACACGCCCCAAAACCTCCAGTGGTTGAATGATCTTAGTGTTTTTTGTTTTACATGTAAAATGTATCATGGTCTTAATGAAGGTCTAGTTTGCCTGAGGTTTCTTGCAACATCACCTACCACCCTACCATCGCCACACGATGAAGTGCACATTTGGAACGACCGGGTTTGCGCATTTGGAAGGTTGCGCCGGCAAACGGACCGCCCAAACGATGCAGTTTGAGGTTAAGATGGAGCACATATCAGCACATTAGTGTTTTGGGTTTATTCCAAAACAAATTCGTATTGAACAAAATCCTTTTGGGGGGGAAGGCCGCTTGAGGTTTTCTCTCTGAGCTGGTGGTTTGATGTATGGATTCTGACAAATTTTACTTTTACATACTTTTAAAATGTTGTCTCAATGAACCAATCAACCATCGAAATTCAACATCATGGAAGCGGAACATGAGCCTTGTTGAACCCTCGCTTGAAAAACCTCATGCTCTCCACTTCCACTAAGGATGTTTTTTTGGGGGAAAGGTCTATCATGGTCTATCACTTGAGTGGATGTCCAGATCACACCAATCACGGTCTACCTGGATACTCGACAATAGCAAACCGGTGGATGGCATACCTGGATCTTCGAAAATGCCAACAGCATGTGCCGGGTATGAAGATCCACCATTCACTCTATTCAACGACCCCGGGCCCGGCGGCCATCCCTAGCCATGATGGCGGCCATCTTCCAGTCCCGGGTCTTGGACCCTTTTGGGAGGCCAGGCTCGTGTGTATTGGGGGCCCCTAGACGGATCGATTTTTCGAGCCTTCCACGGTGTCGAACTGGAAGGTCTCCTATATAGTCACTATACCCTATGAACCAAAGTACTCGTTAAACTGGTCCTTAACTAAAGGACTACTATTACTTTTTGAAAGAACGTACTTTACTTTGTCTAATCACGACTCTATCAACATGCTAGCACAGGATTTGCATGAGTGTTCATTCGTTTTGCAGGTGGTCAGGGCATGTTCAAGCTGCAAAAAATGCAGCTGGTCGGCATCATGCATGTCCGACATATGAAAGACATGCATGGATAGAAGGATCCATTGATAAACATGGATAGATCACTGATCACATGGCTAGATTCCATGAATGTAATGACATCATAGCACCACATCCCCGCCCTTCGATGCCCTGTCGTTTTGGCCTCGCACATGGATGAAACGTGCGCTTCAGAAGAGACTCTCGGCTAGTATCTGGTGACAAAGCTACATGTTTTGAGGGCTTTTGGGGGTGGATTGCCAGCACTTCCCCGCAACAAGGAGCCTACGAGAAGAGAGTGGAGGAATCGTCTGATGAAGAAGGTGCCTTTGGCATGGATTTGGGGACGATTCGTGGGTGCAACACGTTCCCTACAAGTCCAAAGACCCAGTAAAACCTCCTTTAAAATATTTGGTTTTGTGTGACCATCCCCAGTAAAATGAGGTCTTTGACTTGTAGGGACGTTGGATTGGACGATGTATGTTCGCAGGCTACGGCTCGTGTGAGCGGTTCATTAATCATGATCATGAGATATCATGAGACATCATGAGACTATAAGCTAGTTGGCTGGCCCCAAGTAGGCCCTAGTGCACTTACAGCTGGAATTCCCGCAGCTGTGGTGGGTAGGATGCCCTCCTCGTCAGATCAGACGTCCTCAGAACTCTTGGGGGGTTGTTCCTTCATCCAAAATGTGAAGTACCATGTCCCACAATGGCAATTTCCTACAACTAGCTGGTGTCCTTTGGATTGCTGCCATGCCTGATTCCCGACCGCGGGATGCAGTGGTGGATGTGCTGAAGGCTCGCTTTTTCATTGGCCTTTATGTCACTTCAAAAATATTCAAAAATTTGGTGCTTGAAATCATGATCCCTTTTTTACAATACCCCCAACACATGCACAGGAATTCTATAGAGATCGACTCGCTGATGGCTGGAAATGGATTCGGGTGGAGCGCCTTTGCAAAGAGAACAACATCCCGAACTATCGAATGATGCGTGACTTGAAGAAACATTGTGCAACTGGGCCCAAACTTATTTGGGATCTTGGGCTTGTTTGGACGTCCCAGGCATGCATGCTAGGGGCTCCTGGCATCGCTACTAGGGCCTGAAGGACGCTACTAGGGGCTCCTGGCATCGCTGCTAGGGGCTGAAGGACATTACTAGGGGCTCCAGTCATCGCTACTAGGGGCTGAAGGTCGCTACTAGGGGTTCCTGGCATTGCTACTAGGGGCTGAAGTGGGATCTTGGGCTTGTTTGGACGTGCTGTCCCACCACCCACCACTGCGAGGAAGCCCGGCTCACCTGCGCAGTGTGCAAGGGACACCGGTCTTCACTAGGGGCAGGTTAGGAAGAGGATCTGGTTTTTCCGGCAGGTTGCACCAATTTCTAGCTGACCTGGACTTCATGAGCTGAACAATTTGCTTCAGCTGTTCCCAAAAGGATCAAAAGGGGTCACCTGGTCAAGGGATGGAATCCACCTGGACTTCATGAGCTGAAAAAATTTCAGCTGTTCCCAATTTGGGGGAGGGCGTATTCCGAAAAGGGTCACCTGGCCAATGAACCTGTTCGAAAATTCTGCTGCTAAGATGCCATGCACTTTCAGCTTCGTTGATGTGGACAAGAAGGGCGTCACTGGAAAGGGGCTGAGGGGCGACACCAACTTCATGTTCTTGCTGGACTGGCTGGGTGTCTTCGGCTTCAGCAGAACCACTTCCAAAGAGGTGTCGGTTCCATGGATCAGTTCAGGGAGGGTTTTTGCATTGGCACGGGCCGCGGGCCGGCTTGCACCGACAGAGGGTCAACGAATTTAAAGCCACTTTGGACTGTACATGCAGACCATTTCCACAAAGAACTCTGGGACTAGTACTCATGATCGCCAAGAATTTTCACAAAGAACTCCTAGTACTCATGATCGCCAAGAACACGAGGTACCATTTCCACAAAGAACTCCTGAAGAACTCCTAGTACTATCATGTTCGCCAAGATGTGCACCATTTCCACAAAGAACTTGTGGGACTAGATTGCCAAGAACACGAGGTACTATTTCCACAAAGAACGCCTGAAGAACTCCTAGTACTAGTACTATCATGTTCGCCAACCCGGGAGACAAGTTTAACGAGTGCATATTGGCCAAAAGGACTGCCTTTCCAGTTGGATTGCAAGAATCCTTGTCACACAGCAGCCAACCTTTAAAGTTTGTACAATATGGCCATGGGAGAACTTGAGTCCCTAGCCATGTTGGAACCAATGCCATATCGGTCCCCTCCTCCCTTATGATGCCCCTCCATCGAGTGGAGTGTTCACTAGGGGCTAGAGGGCCCTTCTTACAGATTGAGTTTTTTCCAGGATGAGGGTGAAAAGCCTGGAGTTAGGAGTGGAAGCGACGTATGCCAGTCGACAGGTTCGTAGAGCCCAGAAACCTCCAAAGCAGGACAGCCGTGGCCATAGCTCTCATGATGTTGACCGTCTTGGGAACTACTCGGATGAGAGCAATCAAGCCCGCAATTTTTGGAACTACATGCAGTTGCCACTGGACAGCAGGGTTGGGACCTCGATCTGCAAGGTCATGGCTTTTAAAATTTGGACTGCTAGCACGTGTACACATGTTTATATTTTGGGTGCTTTTTTTTATCCCTGCAAGGAGACTCGATATGTACGGGTTCGTATCAAAGGGCGTGCTGAAGGGTCCCACTGCTATGTGCAACTGCCAATGCTTGACCCTGGCGATATCTTGAACTATCTTCACAGTCATGTACTGGAAGCTCCCATGAGTGAAGTTCAACGGTACTGGGACTCTTTGCGATCGAAGGGCCTATTGTCAAATTTGGTGACTGACCAGCACATACCGGTCACCCTGTACGGAGATGAGGTACAAATCAACAAGCAGGGAGATTCGATCCTTGGACTTTACATCTCGTATACCCTGTTCAAACCTCGCAAGGTTCGCACGATGCACTATAATTTCTTTACTCTACGTTCTCACTTGGTCGATGGAGTTCATACATTGTGGCCGATTCTTCGACGAGCTGCAGCTAGCCTGAATGCAGTTTTTGATCAGCCAGGGGTCAAATTTGCAGTTGCCGAATATAAAGGCGATTGGCCTTTCTTGAGGAAACTGTTCCGATTCATTCCCTCCTACACAGGACACCGTATCTTGGCGATATGCTTAACCTGTTTTCCATATGGGCGCAGTTGTGTATGGCATGTGTGTGAAAGAATTTGAGCATGTCTGCATGGTCCAGGCATGATCATGTGATCATGAGCTCGAGGTGTTTGCTACATGTGTGATGCGAGTACTCATGCTGACAGCTCTCCATTTTGGTGTATGGATGGTGATGCTCGCGAAGTTTCCACACCAAGCTTCATCGCACGCATGCTCGATCCCAACTGCACCCCGAGTACCTTGCCTGTATACTAGCTAGGCTGTAGTCGAGCTATATATATGCGTGTATATATCTGCCACGGAACCTAGGCCCACTTATTTGCATCAAAGGCTTTTCCCCGCTCTGCATCAAGCCGTGCGCGATGCACATCTGCAATCTGGGACTATTATTCACCGTTAACGGTGCAATCCTGTACCATACTCAGTACGCTTGCTAGAGCACTGGCACATATTGCGCATTGGATGCACGGTACATGCGCAATTAATGGGGTGATTGGACTGTATGCTCAGGCTAACCCTGATCAATGCTGGATACTTCGGTGGAACACCGGATCAAGTGAGTATCCAGGAGCTTTTGCGTGTGGCTTACGAGGACTTTACAGCTTGGAGGAAGTCAAAGAAGATTGCTTGCTCGCAGCGGATGTTCAGACCATCGCAGGTGGACCGTTTGGCCCACGGGGCCTATCTGGCTGCGAAGGCATGGAATTCCAGAATACTTCTCCAATGGCTTCATGAGAGCGCAGTTCAGGCTGCCACGTTGCAGAATTTCGATAGCACCGGAGGGTGCACGTTGGGGGTATGGCTGGCTGAGGAGGTTCGTGCAGGTCGCAAGGCATGGCCTACTGCAAGTGACACCCCATTCTTGTTTCTGGAGCCATTGGCGTCGCATTTTGGCTGTAAAGTGTTAAGCCACTGATCATGATTTTTGTCATGCTTCATCCCAGGCATGCTAGGGGCTGAAGGACGCTACTAGGGGCTCCTGGCATCGCTACTAGGGGCTGAAGGACATTACTAGGGGCTCCAGTCATCGCTACTAGGGCTGAAGGTCGCTACTAGGGGCTCCTGGCATTGCTACTAGGGACTGAAGGACGCTACTAGGGGCTCCTGGGGCTCCTGGCATTGCTACTAGGGGCTCCTGGCGTTGCTACTAGGGCCTGAAGGACACTACTTGGGGTCGCTACTAGGGGCTCCTGGCGTCGCTACTAGGGCCTGAAGGACGCTACTTGGGGGTCGCTACTAGGGGCTCCTGGCGTCGCTACTAGGGCCTGAAGGACACTAGGGGCTCCTGGGGTCGCTACTAGGGCCTGAAGGACGCTACTTGGTATGGGCTCATTTTCGGTGCGCGCTTTATCCTAGGCATGCACTATGCACTTGGTATGGGCTCTGCGAGCGTGCTGGACGGATCTTGCAACTTGGCTAATGTTGATCGATCGATATCGATAATGCATACAGCCGCTTTCCGATCTAGTGAGTTTTCCCATGGGTGGCCATGCACATGCAGATTTGAGGACGGCTGCAGAAGCCCAAGATATTCATGATGCGGGGCTGTCCTTTTGCAGATTGCACCTCAAGCTGACAAGGCTAGCGATCAGGCAAGAGGATTCAAGTTTGTCGTTCTGCTAGGGGCTCCTGGCATCGCTACTAGGGGCTGAAGGACGCTACTAGG